CATCCCTTTCCAATGGCGGATGCGGGAAGGATAGGGAAACACGAGAACCACAAAATGGAAGGAACAAGCGGCGCAATGGTTCAGTGATAGAGCATATGATTGCAATCGATTATCGTATGGTTCCCGAGTTCAAACCTCGATTGCACCTTTTGACATTGTGCCTTCAAGTCATCGTTTTCTATGTGGTGATTATTATTTGATGTATTCACCTTAAGCATAAGAAAGGATATGTGCAAAGCAACCTAAAGGATAACTCCTCAGAGTCTTCTTGCACCAGCTCCTCGAGGGGATTTGAATTTGCGATTGGAATTTCAGAACATTCCTGAGTGTACAAAGCTTCTGGTCGCTAAGGGGGGGGGGTAGAGATGATCAGCGTTATTCGATATTTTTCGCATGGGATTTCACGTCCTCGACATCTCAACAACGTGCGAAACTCTCTTGAAACTAGACTTGAATAAAATGAAACATGGTCTATAGCAGAAGATCGGGCTTCATCTCCTTCGAAGAGTATAACTTCCAAAGGCGTACCAGAACATATCATTTCAGAATACTCTTTTATCAACAGTGTGAAGTTTTTTCAAGGGATTGGATAAAAATAAATCAAGAGACAGACGTTGGCTGGGCTGCGAAGGCCATGAAAATGTATTTAGACTTTACCACCGTCATAGGAATATAATTCATGCCTGATATCGGAAATGAGAATGTTCCCCAGGGAACATGCGAAAAAAAATAACCGACAGAAGGACGTGTAGAATAGGTTCTTGTCTAAGCACGGGTTTCGTGAAACATTACAGCCGAGTCGGAGGCTAAGAGGAGCAAAGCTTTCTTTTTCACCCGTAGTAAGGACCTGGTTAAAAGAACCCAAATTAAGATTCATTCGTCCCTTTGCCAAACAAACCGTGTTTACCTGTTATATTGAAGAAATAATACACTTGGAAAGAAGAGGCAAGCTGGCATTATTCCCTCGGTTTGAACTTGAATGGATAACTGGCGAAAGACTCTGGAAATGCCTCTAAGCACGTTGCACAGGCTTGCTAAGAAATTAACAACTGGGCATATGAAAGTAGCAGGTGCGATTCAATTGATCGACTGCTCAAAGTCTCGTCTCTGAGGCCTCAGTCTCAAGGTCAAACTTTCGATACACCTAAACGGAAAAGTCAAATAAGCAATATTAAGGATGTTTCACATCTTGTTGGGAGGTATCTCACACCATAACGCCAAACAAGCAATAATACTGCTTTTAGAGCACTGGGTTCTCGATACGTTACAGCCTGTGAGTCCGGGGCCACGAGGGTAGCTGAAACTCTTCTATCAACGTCGTGGGTTTCTTCAAGGATCTTAATAAAAAGGAGAAGTTGGATCCACGCGTTGGTAGGACTTCGAAAGTGTATTTACCAATCGCATATATCTTCCTAACAGTGGACACCCGAACGACTACAGGAGATATGAATGGATCAGTCAAGCCTGTCTAAAAAGAATCTCCGAGTCGGTGGGCGAGACAAATCCGTTGAAATCAATACATCAATATCGTGAGGGTCCTTCGAGAAGTTGAATAAGGCAAATCCCTTGAACTTAATTTATCAACATCGTTAGGCTTCGAGGAGATGGATAGAAGACAAATCAAGAGACACAGCAGGCGAAACCTTAATCACCAAACGTCACAAATATTTAATCCTTATCTGATAAACTATAGAAGGCAAATCAGGAGACACCAGGCGAAACCTTATTCACCATACATCACGAAAATAGAATCCTTATCTGATAAACTCGAAGGTTCACTAACGAGCCCAATAGGAGCAACGCTTCGCTAGCGAATCAAATAAAAGCAATACTTACTTTCTCAGCCGACTCGGATGTAAGGACCTGGATGAAAGAACGCAGATTAAGACTTATGCGTGCTCTACAAGACGAAACGTGGTTACCAGTTACATAGAAGAAGAAAAGGCCCTTCTCGAGTGCGGATACGGGAAGGATAGGGAGACGGCAGAATCATGAATGGAATAGGGCGCAGTAGCTCAGTGGTAGAGCACACGGTTGCAAATCGTGGGGTCCCGAGTTCAACCTCGGTTGCACCTTTTGTGGCTATACGTCATCTTTTTTTGGTGATTGTTACTTGTTTCTAGTAAGTATGTATCCACCTTAAGCATAAGAAAGAATATGTCACAAGCAACATAAAGGCTATCTCCCCAGAGTCTTCTTGCGCGGGCTTGGCGGGGGATGTTGAGGATGTGATTGGGGGTTCGGGATATCCTGAGCGTGCAAAGCTTCGAATCGCTGACGAAAGGAAAGAAAAAGAAAATCAGCGTTACTCGATGTTTCGCATGGGATTTCACGTACTCGACATCTCAACAGATTACAAAACTCCCATGAAAGACATGGACTATAACCCCCCCACAACTCCATCTCTGAGGGAACAGAATATCGTGCTCGTCCGTCGAAGACTATAACTCCAAGGAAACTTTGAACAGTGAATACATCGAGGATCGAGACACTCCTTCGAAAATGGACAATACACCTGAAAAGAAGAGGCAAGTCAGTATCATTCCCTCGGTTTGGCCATACCTCTGAATAGAATCCGAAGGTGTGCTAAAGCGTGGTTTCTACATTTCATCCGTCCATATTCTATAAGTTCAGATGCATCGAAAATGTATAGATATCACATCAGCAGCAAAGGTCGTCATTACAATAGTGAATGACATTGATATGCTTCGGAGTGGCGAAAAGGGCCCCAAAAAGAAATATGCAAATGAGGAACAGTATCATAATTGAGATATGATAGTATAGCCATACTTCATATGCCATCGCCAAGCTGTTAATTCTTGCGATCAGTGCCGATGCAGATCCAGGAAAGGAAAGGAAGGGAAGGGAAGGGAAGTGCGGTGGTACGAGACGATAATCTTACAAATCTTGTCGTCAAGCCACAGTTTCCACAGGATAAACCCAAAATTATATTACACAGTATAGTTTACATTGCCTTACACATTCGTAATACGCTTTACATTTCCTATCAACTATCGCTTAATGAGCACCGATATCACATGGTTCCAAAATTCGACTTACCAATCTCTCCGCCCTCGCCCACATGCTTTCCTCGCCATTACACCACGCCTCCCACTGCCCCTTATCCACACTCTCACCGCCCAACAAGACCAAACTCGGATGCACCTTTCCAATGAATCCCAAAAAATCCATCATAGTCTCCAAATCCGTCTTCACATCCACAAACCGCCCAATACTCGCATCCCAAATAAACGGCCTCGCACCAACGACCTCCAAATGCCTAAATCCATGCAAGTTCTCCAACAACTGCAGCGTAACCATCAAATCAAATCCATCGCAATCCATCACAACGCACACCACAAGATGTGTCAGACTCGGGAACGCCTGAGACGTAACATTCGCAAGGAACGGCAGCTCCTGGATCGACACACCAAGATGCGTCACGCCCGTCAGCTTCATGGGTATCCGCCGCGGGAAATACGTTCCATGCTCCTCCATCGGCCCATCAAAAGCCATCAGATGCGTAAAGTCGTCGCTAACGCACGCAGATTGGATCGCGGCCTTATCGCGGAACGTCTGGATCGCGAGGTATCGTACGTGCGTCAAATGACGGGTCATCTGCGAGAACGCGCTCTCCTGCAGCCATAAGTGCTGTACCGCACGTCGATAGACCGTCCCGCGCCATGAAGCGGACGCGAGCGCGGTGTAGAAGGCCTTGCAGCGCCAGTCCGTGAGCGAGACGGTGTAGTAGAGCCGGTGGACGGTCCATTCGAAGACGGCCTTGGAGACGAGGAGGAGTGCGCAGGCTGTTGTGCGCGATGAGGCAGCGAAGTCGAGGATTTCCTGGATGATCTCGATGGGAAGCTGCTGTGCAAGAGACGTGGGTTCGACTTCGTGCTGCTCGATAAGGAGGCTAATAGAGGCGTTAGGACGAGGCGAATGTTGGGTTATGGAGGACATACTGGGTGTCATTGAAGGCCACCATAGGAGGCTAGGATGTGACAATGAGATAAGAGAGAACCATCGTGGCGCGATACTGGATAGCCTTGGCTGATAACGTGGCACGGAACATGGGTGACTCATCCCCACTGACGCCCGCGCTACCAAACATCGCCAAGCATCCTGTCTCTATATAACTCCGACCTGCCATCCACTCTCATCCTTCGCATTTCATCTACCTTTTTCGATTATCCATAGGAATAATATCATTTGCTCGTTATACTTGCATGGCAATCACTTCTTTCTCATTCAACAATATCGGTGTCTCGCCATAGGGTCTGATAGGATCTTGGTCAACAAGTCTCATTATCTTCCGAATAACCTTGCACGTTCACCTCCGATGTGTACAAGGTTTTCGTCAGGATAAATTTCACGTGGACCTGAACAATCTATTTCTCGACTCTGGAAGTCAATATTTCTAGTCTAATCCGGGCTCTAGTTCATTTTGCGGCCACTTACTGTCTGTCAGAAGGTCTTTTTGAGGCTCTGGTAATATCGCAACTTCGCCGCGTATCCCAATCTTAACAGAATTCAGATACGTGCACGACGAGGAGCTTCTTGGTTCTTCCCTGTACGACGTTCTATATCTTCATACTAAGATTAATGAGAGTTGATGCACCGTCAAAGCTGCAGTCGCCTTCTATTAACTATTACTTCTGATGAGCATGACGAAGCACAGTATTCATCTTGTCTTCGTGGTAATATGGAAAAAATCAGATGCAGCTTTGTCTTTGTCAATCCTCCAAACGAAGTCGATATCTGCTTACTGTCTCATTTATACTGTGTCGTCCTTTACACCATTATTATCTTCCGCAAGTTAGCAAAAACATTTGAACCCAAGGGCATAAAACTCTGAGCTTACTCCTCGAGATGCTTCGCAATTCATCAGGGAAAGCTAACTAAAACTCTTGTGAGATTAAAGTCGTAGTGTATTTACTAGTGCAGATATAAAACCTCTTTCTTACATATATCTCAATCGATCTTTCCCCGACAAAAGCTTATGACGAGAGAGGGATTTGAACCCACTCCCCGAAGAGATGAAATTTACAGTAAATCACCCTAATCTCACGCATTAGACAATCTCGGCCATCTCAGCCATGCCTTCGAGGTTTTACAAACGTAGAGACACATGTCTTCGGGGACATATCATGGGACCTCCTTACTCTACAAGTCTCACTCATTCATTCCCCCGCACTTCGCGCAGTTTGAATTACCTTTCTGCGAAGAGCGAGTGTTATTCACCCTAACTCGCCGACTGGTCTCCTAACTCCTCGCCACAAAGCTCAATTGCAATATTTCGTTCTTGACCTGCCTCTAAGTTCGCTCTCACCCTGTTGGATTTATGGTCCGGGATTGGTGAGCAATTCGCCTCGGAACATATTTTTTTGACTGTGATAAAGTCCCCTAGACCCTTCTCCCTTTTCAACAGGATGCAAGAACTGTATCTGAATAAATCCACACGTAGTTCACACACGACGAAACTCTGCGCCTCATTTATACTCTGCACATATGCTGTTCTTAGGTTAAATCTCCTTAGCAAGGCACTACCAGTACGGGTTTCACACATTTAGAAGATTTACCCGCGTCTTCCTGATTGCTCTAAAACGCTAATGGGGGTAAATCATAGATAGCTTATTCTAGACTTATTTTCAGTGATTATGCTGTAGAGATGTAACATTCTTCATCGTTCTTGTGATTATTGATATCAAGTTTTTTTTTCACGGAAGATGCTACTAGTAGCGATGGATGCCTCCCAAGATTGTAGCAACGTTCTATGCTCCCTCCTACGGCTACACAAACCACTTCTACATTTATAAGGATTCGAATCTCCCACATTCCAAAACCATGCTCCTCGGGCTGCAAGTTGCTTGGGGCTTCTTCACCAGCACTACTGAAACACCACCAAGCTACCGTGCCACGCTTTAGATGACATGGTTTTGGAACATTCACTTCTCACTTTCAACACTCTTCTTAGCGACTACTAAGAATTGTAATAATGCCGCGCATCGTCTGGGATCTGATTCGTTGGGTTATGGGTTATTCCCCGGGGTATTACAGCGCTTTGTAGTACGCAAGGCGCGCTCTGTTACCACCGGAAATCCTGGATACTGATACTAATATTAGAGCACTCCACACTATATCCTGCCCTCACAAACAATGTAATAGACCAGATTCCCAACCTGGTACTGTCACACTTCCTGCTTGGTTAAGTATCGATGTTCTGGAATTTTTCTGGCAGTAACAGAGCGCGCCTTGCGTACTGCAAAGTGCTGTGATCAATTTCCCCATGACAATTTCAACGTAAAGAGTTTTTTTCGACCGGGCGAAGCGGTATTTTTTGACAATTCACACCCCATCGTTGATCAAATTCTGAGTTTCATAGTCTTTGCTTCGCATCATAATTAAATGCACAAGAGTTATTCTTATCCCCTGATGGAGAGTTTCAACTCACATCGACATTTTCAGACCTATTGACAACATTCCCGGTCTGTAGTGTAAATATTGATATATCCGGCCAGGGGATATAACAACTCATCATTGAAGCGCTATTCTGACCATCGGAATAGTCCGAACAGGAAATATGAGTAATGAATTAGAATGGGAGTCCCATCGTATTCCATGATTCATTCTGATTTAGCTACGCATCGCTGAATGACTCGCACTTAATTCCATCAATGGATAACATATTATATCAAAACACATACTAGTAGGGATTTCGGGAGGAATAGAATCGGCGATGAGGTCTCAGTGATGTCTCACTCTCATTCTTCTTTCCAGCCTCAACTTGTTATTAGAAAATAATTTTCGTGGGTTAGGGATCAAACGATCAAGGCTTTCACTTAACATTACCCAAGACCATCTGATTGTCTCTGAAATTTAAAGCTCAATAATTCTGTTCATTTATTCCTGAAGCTTGCCTCCTCAATTCCTTCCTGTTGGAATTACACCCATACTAGTAGCCAGTTGGTGGCTCCTCTAAAACGTTCAGATTCGATGGTGAGAATACCACCATGCATCCGGCGGTCGGTACTTAGTTTCAACAGGATTCGGGATGTTGGGAATTCTCGAGCAACCTCATAAACGACGACAAGCTGAAGCTCTCATTTATACACGGGTTTCCTTTAAATCCTTCCGCCTTTGTCTAGGATTATACAGTGTATTAGTGACCGTGACCATGTGTGGAACATCCAGAAGGTGGCACTGGCAGTTTCTGTGCAAGAGACGTGGGCTCATGCTGTTCGATAAAGAGTCTAATAGAGGCGTTAGAGCGAGTCAAATACTGGTTTGTGGAGGACGTACTGGTTGTCATTGAAGGCTACCGTGGGATTAGGATGTGGTAATGTGATAAGAGAGGACCCTAGTGGCGCGATACTGGATAGCCTTGGCCGATAACTAGGACTCGGCACCGTACCCGTATACACCGTATTTACGGCACCGTAATACGGGTGCCGTACACGTACCGTCGAAGATTTTCGTCGACTCTACCGTATTACGGGACGGGTAAATTACTGGCCGTATCTCCCGTATAAAATACGGCCGTATACGGACGTAAATACCGAGTTTACGGGATTTGGAATTGACGGCGGCTGTTATCAAGTCCGTCATCAATGATCATCACCAAGACCGTCCTTAGCACTATCACAGTCGATCACTGGATTTTTTCGTCCCTTGCAACTCGATCGCAGGTATTAGAATGGATCTATGACTTTCCAGAGGTTTCTATATGGTGACGATACGGTGATATGATTTTTGAAGGATTTTTTCCGGGAGCTAAGGACCTCTATAAGTCCCTCACTGCTCCTCACAGCCATTATGCTTCTCCAGGCTGAATACGACGCCCTTTTCAAGCTTCTCAACTCCCTTTCGAGCACCCTTCTCGATCGCCCATCCACCTCCAACTTACCTCCACAAATCGACCTCGAGTTTACAGCTGAGGAAGGAGCATGGCCTGCGTTCAATAAGGTCATGTATGTCACCTTCAGCGAATTCGGTCATGATCTTTGTAGCCAAGACCTATCCTCAGAACATAACTTTACGGTGAGTATCAACTGGAATATCATCTCCCTATAGTTTCAGTACATACTTTTGCAAATACACTTGGAGAGGATGACTACCGACTTCTGAAAGCCAGACCAGAACTGAAAACCGGTTACCACTCAAGTAGTATACCCTCTCCGCAATTCATCCATGCATAAGTAATCAAAAGATTTCCGTAACTTCTATTATCCCCACAATAAAGGTGTTGCAGCAGTATAGCGAGCTCCCTTCACCGTGAATGAATTCAAGATACCATTGACAATCTCCGCCTTCTTATCTGCCATGAGCATAATATAACACACCCCTATATTCTCCAAAGTATGCATTGTTTTCCTGGACATATCATGATATTAATAAGTTGGAGGTTGAATGTGGAACACAATGATCCTGAAATAGGTGACATATGAGGTCCTAAGGAACAAACCCATGCCAGAGCTAATTGTCCAAGAGACCATCCGGATCTTAATGCTCATCAAGCAGCACATTTGTTTAGGTCGTAAATAGTTATATTCATTGAGAAATATTCAAAATAGAACTTTAATTTGATTTTAATCATCTCCGTACACCGTAATAAGCAGTATACGGCCGTATACGGACCGTCAAGCCTTGTGAGTGACCATTATACGGTACGGTTACAGTATTGTAATTTCCGTAAATACCTGTAAAGTGTACGGCCGTATCCATATACTGTACGGTGCCGAGCCCTACCGATAACGTTGCACATGTCCAGGCACTGGAGACACCTCGTTATTTACCCCAAACGAAATGTTAAGGAAAAGTGTCATCGGACCTGGTTGTATTATGGTTTTTTTTGGAATGATATTCATATCAAATTTTGAATTATATGACCTTTTAAGTGAGAGGATAATAGATTTGAATTTTCTAATTTCAACCAGATGAAAATGGGAGAGAAAGGCTCTTACAAGTCAGCCTTTCAACATGGAGAAAGTTTAATACTACTCTGAATTTTTATCACCTATCTTAGTAATATACATCTAGTCATATTATGGATAACAATTGATTGTCAAACATAAAAGAAAACCTAGTGAGAACCACCCTTTCACATCCATGTCATTCAATACAAAGGTGCTAAAATTCCTGACACTATTCACATTATCCATAACTTTAAATGTGTAAGAAAGATACCTTTCTGTATTTATATATTTCATAAGAAAGCTGTGTCATATGCTAGGTTTTTGATACCTTTCTCTTAATGTACTTTGAACATTTAAACACATATAAATGTTGCTTTTCCAAACTGAAGGAAAAGCTTAGGAAAAGGTTTGGAAAAGGCTGCTAAACATTTAGGCTAAGTTTAGGCTAAATTAGCTAGTGTG